GGTAGTACGAAGTGGTCAGGGACATAGTCGTTCCTAATTCTTTGGAAGAATGTAAGGTTATCATTATCATTATCTAACTTGAACTTGAAAGATTTGCAAGGTCCATTTTCATTCTCCTCATTTGCCAGTAGTAAGGTGGTTGTTGGTGAGGTTGGAAGTGTACAACTTTTCCCTTACCACTACCTCGACAATTCTCTTCTTTTGCCAATTTTTAGGTTAGGTCTCATTTTGTGGCCTATTTCCAAGTATTAGTTCATGAGGCTTGAATTTGGCCCATTATTTTAAGGCCTATTTCTAGATACTTCGGATACCAACCTTTCAAGACCTTGCCAAATCTCTCATGTCTCTGCTATTTTTCATAGACGAGAGAGAAGTTGTCGTTGAAACCTAGCAATCCCTACTTACTTCATTCTATGCTTGGAATGATTAGAAACAGAGAGACGGACGAGATGTGAGTAAAAATCAAACTGGAGAAGAATATAGCTCTTTAAGGCTCATTTTATTGGAACTATGCTTCTATTTATTTTTATTTTAAATTGTTCAAGCACTAGATTTCTGCTTTCGAAATCTCATTTTGATTAAAAGAAAGCATTTTCTCAACGTGCATCTTCCTCCGAATAGGTCATTTTCAAGTTGTCCTACATGGAAATTTTGGGAGAAGACAACCTCTACATCCCTTTCAATAGAATAACGTCTCTTCTACACCTATGAAATCAAACTCTATCACTCTATACCTCTTCCTCTTCTACTGGTTCTTCATTGGCCTTGAAAGCCCTAGAATAAGTCTAATTGAGGCATATTTTGTAGCATGTGTATACCCGCTTGCGTTTGCATTTATTGAAGGAGGAGTTGAATGGTATAGTTTTCATCTGTGATACTAGTAAGGCGCACAATGACTCTTTCACCTTTGAGATGATAGAGTTGGTAGTGGTTTATCCTGGTTGGAGGAGCCTCTTATTTAGAGATTTCCCTTACCACTTTTCGTAGATTTACATATCCTTCACTAGAACTAATGTTGATAAGTTGCCTTCTTTCTTTAGATGGGATCTTCTTAAGCAAATTTTTCCTTCGAAGTTTGTCCTATCTTCAAGGAAAGCTCGGAATACCTTGGATTTTTGTGGATTTTAGATCAAAATGGCATAAAAAGAATAACACATAGAATTTTTCTTCCAAACCCTCTTGATCTTTCTTCAAAAACTTTCAAGGGGAAAGATAAATTTACTTTCTGAATAGCTTTTCTCACAAGGTCTACTTGTGGTTGATAGTGTAGTTTTCACAAATGGTGTCAATTTGTTGACCTTGATTTCAGATTGGATGACATGTAAAACAGATCCCAATTCCATCCACGTCTATAAGGCTCTTGCACACCAAACAAATAGTTAGAAGCACGTGGCCGTCTCTATTGGAGGAGATAGCCGCGAACACTCATACGATTAAGTCGGTCAACCTATATGTTTGGTTGTAGGATGAACGGAAGATGTAAGCTACAAGTATGTGCACTGGACAGGGTTGTAGACGCAAAACAATAACAATGGACAATATTACTATGGTGAGTATAAAATTGAATTACCTTCAAATGACACTAAGTGTGAGCTTTTTCTAATAAAAAATGTAAGGTATTTAACATTAAACAAAAGATAAGTGGTCTTCGTTTAACGGTTTGAGGCATCTTTTCCTAGGTGCAACTTCTGTATATTCTATGTTCAGACATCATTTAATGACTCTAAAAACTGCCAACCCTATAACCCAAGATTGACATCTGAAAAGTAGGCAATAAGTTACCGAGTGACGTCTCTTACAAAGAGGTCACATTAATCAATCATAGGAGAACTTGTACGAAAGATCTCTTAGAATAAATAGTCACAAATGATCTTGTATGGATGATCTATCGGACTAGGCGAAGCTTTAGAGATGTCTTCGTAGAATTAAAGGTTCCTCGCTTTGGTAATAAGCTAAATCAGATCGTGTCACATCATTCGATAATGGAGGTTCAACCTCTGCATGGCTCCTCGTCGAAGGTGATGCGTCACTTGTACCTTTTTTTATGCCCTAATTAGGTCAGGTACGTGAGTGATGTGGAGTGTGGACTTAGGGTGGTATGTTGGCTTGCTGCCACATGGCCAGTGATTGGTACCTTTTTGGATGAGACATAACGATGTAGTAAATGTAGATAAATTTTTAGAGAAGAAATATGATGAGAAAAAAAAAGTAAGTCGATGTTTAGTGAGGATTAAAATCAGATTTTTAGCGAATTTTGATAAAAGTTGATAAAATTTGTGGTTGAAAAGTTGCGAGTCTCATAAAATATGTTGTTAAAATTTAATTATTGACTTTGACTTAAATTAAAAATTTAGATTTTAATTACAACCAAGTAAGAGCTAATTATCATTTAATAACAACCAATTCAAGTCACATTCTTATCTTATATAATATCTATTTTCATAATAAAAAAAATATTGAATTATAATAATATTGTCAATTTTGATATTTTTAATATATTAAAATTTGGTGATTATGATTTTTCCCTGACGGACATCCCGTTAGGTTAGTGGTGCATAAAATCGAAACAATTTTCTTAGAACAATATAAATGATGTTAGGTTCAACGTTAGTGATTTTTTTTTCCCTTTAATTCCAACTTTTGTTTTCAAGCAATCAAAGCCCCTTTCTTAAAAGTAGATTTAAAGCACCATAGTTGACATTTTCAATGTCTTAATCTGGAATATGGTAGGCATGTTTGATGTGAATATTTTTTTTAAAAAAATATATTAATCTAATTTAAAAGATTTTTTAGTCCATGTCAAACTTTTCTCCTGCTTTTAAGTGCAATTAAAATTTAATATACATATTTATTGGTGTTTCTTCTTCTTCTTCCTTTTTTTTTTTTTTTTTTTTTTTGTTTCTTTTTTTTTCTTTTTTTTTTTTNGTTAGTCGAGTTGAACGTACGTTATATGTTATTCTGAAATGTTTTATAAATACTGTAAAAATAATATTTAACCTCCATTTATCCTTTTGATCTAAACATGAGATAAATACAAGTTCTTAAAAATAAATATTAATTATTATAAATGCATGTAAATAATGAAATGTATACTCGAAGGTGGGTATTAGAATTACAATTAAATGCATAAATGAAGATGAATGATAAATACGGTATATGAATTAATGTGAATATTAATTAATTTAGAACTAATATTAGGGATGTCAACAAGCCGGCCAACACTTGAGGCTCGAACTCAACTCGAGTAAAAATGGTTTGAACTTTTTTTGGCCTCGAGCAGAGTCGGCTGACATTTTTTTTTTAAAATATCAGATAGTGCTTGGTATTGCAGGCAGCGTGTAACTGGCTTCTAAATTTATTTTTTTAAATCGACTTGTCACGGGTTGAAAATAGCCCGTAACACGAGCCTAACTCGTGACACAAGCCGGTTCGAGTGGCTTAACGAGCCACACATACTGGCCTTGGGCTCTAGTCAACTCCCTAAAATGGGGGTATTTTTCAAATCGAGCCAAATTGACATCCCTAATTAATATCAAGGAATATATACACACACACACACACACACACACACATATATATATATATATATGACAATGAATGTTAAATTATTTATATCAAATGAATATAATTTAATTTTCAATTAAGTGAAACTAAATGCAAATTAGCGTATATGAACGTGAATAATGAACTAAATTCCTGAATGTAAAATTCTAATTATTATTAATTAAATGAATGTGAATGTTAACTAATTGAGAATTAATAACAGGGAATACATGCATGAACAATGATTTTGTAGTATTTATTACAGTTTATAAATTAAATACATATTAAAAACAAAAAGTAATGTATTATTGAAATTGTAGTAGGGCTATAATCATCCAAATTCTAATTAACACTAATTAAATGAGTGTAAATATTAATTAATTGAGAATTAATAATAGAGAATGACTTTGTAGTATCTATTATAGGAGTTATTCTACATGTACAAAGTTGAGTTATAAAGGTGGTTGACAAAATAATATCTAAACCAATCATTTTAAAAATATATTTTTAAATAATTTGAAATCAACGGGCTGAATTTTGTTAACAAACTTTTAACCCAACATTTGTAATTCAACTTTGTACAAATAGTCTTATTTTATTATAGTTTGTAAAGTAAATACATATTGAAAAATAAAAAGTTAGATATTATTATTATTATTTTTTTTTTTTTGATATCCATGTATCCTAACTTATACTAGATTATGTCCTGGACCACCCATCCTCGGCCCCTCAGTGATGGGTGGAGGTTAATCTCGGGATATGCCCAAATTGACTAGGGTCTGT